AATTTCATATATAGGAATTTTAATTATTTGCTCATGACTGCGAGGACGAACATTGTAATTCATATATTAATTGATTATATTCATCCAATTGAATATATTTATTATTTTTAGCTTGGATTTGTAGTAGGTTAACCATATTATCAAATGAAATAAGAACAGCATTGCAAGACGCAATATGTTAAGATCACATACTAAAATAGTCCTATTGCCTGGCGTTATGAAGAAAAATGATTTTTCTCTTACCTGTCTTATAACTATTGTTTAACTACTCTTAAAGCTGATAGTTTTTTCCATTGAAAATAATTTATTAAGAACACAATTAAAATTTGTTTTTTAAAAATACATTTCTCAGAACCAAGGAGGCCTTTAAATATTTAAACAAGTTTTTCTTGATTAATATACACACAACAAAGTTAATTTTTATATTGAAAATATGATTTTAATGTTACCATAATCTACATTCTTTAAGCTTTTTGCGAAGAATGTATTTTATGGTAACAATAAATCTACTTTCTTGAAAGCCTAAGGGAAGAGAAAAATAGTGATAACAGTGTCTGCTGTCTAGACTGTCTATCCGCAGGCGTATTATACAATATCAAATGTTATAGTGCGTAGTGTGTTAAGTGATGAGCAAGCTGGCGGTCATGCGTTATTAATCAAACCATTGTTATTATAATACATTAAATTACGGGTTGTTCGCCTTAGCTGTGACCGATTTAGCTTAGAATCAAGGACAGGAACGTTAGGATGGTTCCAGAATGATAAGCATTTGAATTATACCAGAATCTCTGAAATATCTCTTATGAAATATTCTTTACATCTTAAAACATAACTTTTAAATGAGGTTTCTTAAATTGAATAATTGTTTTTAATATGGTGAATATTGCGTTCTGTGATATAAAGTGATAATAAAAGGGAGGTATATAATTGAGTAAATTTCTTACTCTAAAATCAGTCCCCTTCTTGGAAGAATGACATTTATTTACTTAAGTTATTCCAAAGTTATGAACAGTAACAATATGATGTGGCATAGTAATTTAATGCCGAAATTGATCCTTTGTGTGACAATTCATCAATTTATTTTGATTTGATCATTTGTGTTGTGACTTTGATTTGATCCTTTGTGTTGCGATTTTGATTATTTGATCCTTTGTGTTGTGATTTTGATTATTTGACCCTTTGTGTTGTGATTTTCATTATCCGATGCTTTGTGTTGTGATTTTCATTATCTGATCCTTTGTGTTGTGATTTTG